AAAAAAAAAAAAAAATTTTTTTTTAAAAGAAAGGACATTAACCTATTTTTTTTTTAAGATTTTATTTATTTATTTGACAGAGAGAGACAGCAAGAGAAGGAACACAAGCAGGAGGAGTGGGAGAGGGAGAAGCACGCCTCCCGTGGAACAGGGAGCCCGATGTGGGGCTCGATCCCAGGACCCTGGTATCGAAGGCAGACGCTTAACTACTGAGCCACCCAGGCGCCCTGATATTAACCTATTTTATTAACTATCTTCTTGAAGTTTGTTTATTTATTTATTTTTAGAAATTTCTACACCCAAAGCGGGGCTCCAGCTCACTACCGTGAGATCAAAAGTCAAATGCTCTGCTCACTGAGCCAGCCAGGAGCCAGGTGGCCCCTATTAATTATCTTCTGAATAGAATGTGTTTTTGTAACAAAATTCCTAGGATAAGCTGTCAATCACCATTGTTATAGACAATTCACTTTTTTTTTTTAAGATTTTATTTATTCATTTGACAGAGAGCACAAGCAGGGGGAAAGGTAGGCAGAGGGAAAGGGAGAAGCAGGCTCCCCGCTGATCAGGGAACCTGATGACACGCGGGGTTCCGGGGCTCGGGGGCTCCAGGGCTCGATCCCAGGACCCTGGGAACATGACTTACGCTGAAGGCAGACAGTCAACTGACTGAGCCACCCAGGTACCCCAAAAATTCACTCTTATAGAATGGATTCTGGTTTTTTAAAAAATCCTATTTGAAATGTTACTTGTTCAGTTTGAAAGCTGGGCTACAGTATTTCATTTTTTTTAATTACAGTAGTAGATTTTTTTTTAAGATACTATTTTTAAGTAATCTCTACACCCATTATGGGGCTCAGACTCACAACCCCGAGGTCAAGAGTCGCATACTCCACCAACTGAGTCAGCTAGATGTCCTTGGTAATAGAATTTTGTCTCAATTTTTTTCCCTAAAAGTTTTGGAAAAACCAGTAATTATCAGTTGATAAACACAGTTCAACATTGATTATCTTATATTCCCTTTTTCCCTCTCTCCTAACTTGTACTCAGATATCACGAAGATGATCTTTTGGAGGACGAATATAAGATTAAAATTATGAAAACAACTTTTGGTAAATTTTATTTAGTCACTATGTAGGTTGGGTGGTGTTCTTCTAAAGACTGTGTCTGCATGCATGTCAAGAGAAAGCTATATGGGCGCCTGGGTGGCTCAGTTGGTTAAGCGACTGCCCTCGGCTCAGGTCATGATCCTGGAGTCCTGGGATCGAGTCCCACATCGGGCTCCCTGCTCAGCAGGGAGTCTGCTTCTCCCTCTGACCCTCCCCCTTCTC